AGACAAGTCTTTTGTGTCTTGTATTTCTCAGTTTCATCTTCACATGTTTCTGACTTAACTGAACTTTATCCGTATACATGCATATTCCCTATCATGAAAAAAAAATCTCCCTTTAAATGAAAACCCACAGGGAAGCTGAAGATATTTTTAAGTTTTAAGTGATGGTCATGGTAAAATTTCAAGAAAATGTTCTGTGTTAAAATTTGAGCTTCAATAAGATATAAGATCATCTCTTTAAAGGAATTGCTGTATGTTTGCATGTAAATTTTTCATTAAGACATAGACCAATATTATGTGTGTGTGTGTGCATGGTTTAGTGTAAAAAAATATTACACGACAAAGCCCTTGATCCAATACACATGTATATTTTTATAAAAAAATATTTTAACTCTAGTTAAAATAATCATTATGATAAATAAAAAATCATATGTTATTACCGTCTGAAAGATTATTTATTCATCTATCCAACAAATTCATCTAAATGCCATAATGCAACAAACAAAATTTTACACATTTCACCAGTACTCTGTCATTTTTTTTACTAGTATCATGGTAATAAGTTGGACACAGCCAATACCTAATCTATTTCTGTGTCACAAGTTAATTTCTCTTCTTAATTAATGGATCTAAATAAAGGTTTATTGTGCATCTATATCATTAACATTTATCCTTTATAAAAATACTGATACTGTCTCGGTCTTCTTTTTAGCAAACAAATGTGCCAGTAGGAATTTTCGACTAAGTTTAACTTAATGTCAAGGTTTCGTAATTAGGTGGATAATGTTCTAAACACTGAAAGAAATCAAGATAGAATGGCAATGAAGGTGCATTTAGACTATACTATACTAAACTACTCAAAACAAAATAGGGCCCACCCCGTTTTCCAGCTATAATTTATTTTTCCTTTAACTTAAGTATTCTTTTTTATTGAGGTGTTTATAATTGACGTTTGGAAATTGTGTAAACATAAACAACAGTGAAAATTAAAAGTTTTATGTGAATTACACTGTAATTACAGTTTTTAAAATTCTTTTTTTTTTTTTTTAAAAAAAAGTTTTTTTTTTTTTTTTTTTTTTATCCACAATCAGTTAGGTACTATAAGTGAATGCGTTGTCAGTCCAATAATTGCGATGAGTGTACCCTCCATTGAGAGTACTACTCCATGTGCTACATCCAGGTGCTACATTCGCTCCGATAGTGACGAGATATTATGCCTCTTAAGCCGGTTACAGTAGGATTGTCTTGTAAGTGCGACTGCCAGCTCGTTGGGATGCTGAGCAAGTCGTTTTTGGTATCTTGTAGATGTAGATGTATGATGTATCTTGTTTAAGAAAATTAACACAAATTAACTAAGAAAGTAAAGTTTGAATATTAACAATATTTTCACACAAATTTATGAAAATTGTCTCTTTTAGTAGCGAGTAGGACCTCCTCTGGTCCGTATGCACTCTCTTAGTCTATCTGGAACGCTTTCGATTAAATGGATAACGCTTTCAGTCGGTATTTGCTCCCAACAGACTTTAAGGGCGTTTATGAGGTCTTGTCGGCTATTCACATGACTGAAATTTGACTTGAGGCTTCTTTTTAAATGATCCTATAAATGTTCAATAGGATTGAGGTCGGGACTCATGGCTGGCCACGGTAGTACCGTAATATTGGCTTCTGAAAATGCTCTCTGAGTGATACGAGCCGTATGCGCGCGGGCATTGTCTTGCATGAAGACGAAGTTTTCACCGATTCTTTGCCTAAATGGGATGACATAAGGTTGGATTACATGCTCGATGTAAGTGGCAGCAGTAACGGTGCCTTCTTCCAGAAATACCAGTTCAGTTTGGCCCATTAAACTAATTCCACCCCAAACCATTACACTTGGACCCGAAACGATCTGTTCCGTGAATGCACGCTTCTGAAAAACGTTCGCCTTAATACGAATACTGTCCGACAGTAAATCAGTCCTACAAGCTCTAGATGCCTGTTTAGTCAGATCGAGCCTCCTACGAGAATGCCACCAAACCTTAAACAAGGTAGGGTCAAGCAATTCTATTACCATCCAATGGATCAAGGGACAGAGTGGATCACGCGGAAACGACGCTGCGGATGAGCTGGCCCGGAAGGGATCTGATACGACCCCAACAGGTCCTGAACCAATACCGGTAAGCTGTCTCGTCAATAAAATCCGCGAGCACACTGCCGAACTACACCAGCAATACTGGCTCGACCTGGAGACGTGCAGGCAGACCAAGCTCGCTTTGCCACGGGTGAACGCTGCCTTCTCCAAAACTCTCCTACAGCTAAGCAAACCTACATTGCGCATGGTAACGGGTGCTATCACTGGACATGCACATTTTAACAGACATCTTTTCAACTTAGGTGTCACGGACAGCCCCCTATGCAGAGGCAAAAGAAACAGCTACTCACGTTCTGCTGGAATGCAACGGAGTGGCCGAATACCGGGCGAAATACCTCGGCTCACCGGGAAACCTTCAAGAGGCAGTCACCAATGTGAAGGCCCTGGGGGAGCTGGGCTGGCTGGAGTGATTCCGGCCATACAGCCTCCTCACGCAAAACAGGCGCCATAAGGACGTCGAGTTGCGGAAACGCCCGTAGCAACAAGAAGAAGAAGAAGAAGAACGTTCGCCTTCTTTTCTCCACATGTGGACTCGACGATCGTCACTAAAAAACTTCACTTTAGACTCGTCTGTAAACAGTACTGTCCTCCAGTTGTCCATGGTCCAATTTAAGTGTTCGCAAGCAAATCTTAACCGTGCTGCACGATGTGCCCTTGTCAACTTGAGCTGGATTACTCGCATTCTGGATTGTTGGCCATCCTCATGAAGTCTATTCCGAATGGTTTGATCACTTACTCGTGTGCCAGTAGATTTGCGTAAACGATTTTGTAAGGTCCGAGCGGTTATTGTACGCTCTCGACGTGTAGTCAATTGGATATAACGGTCTTCCTGGTCGGTGGTAGCTCGAGTTCTTCCTGTTCCCGCTCTCCTAGCAACACTACCTGTCTCTTGGTAGAGTTCCCACAGGTTACGGATAGCTCGTCGTGACACACCAACTCGTATTACCACTGATCTCTGTGAATGTCCTTCCTGAAGCATAGCCACCGCTCTTGAAGCTGTTTCCATATCCATATGACGGCGAGAACCAGGCATAATGATCGCAAATAGCGTAGAAAATAATACAAAATTAATGAAACAACACGGTGCAACAGGAACAGTCAGACTGAGACTGAGAACACAAGTGATTGGGAATTTTAAAATTGGACGATTATTAGGGCACTTCACTTTTGTGTTTGCTCACTTAAGAGTAACATTTAACTTGTCTCTTGAAACATTGATAAAGATTCATAAACATGTCAACAATAAGTTAAAATGCTTCAACTCGCCAATAATTACCCTATATATTTTTTTTAGACAATATACTGGATTATTTATGGGTGGGCCCTATTTTGTTTTGAGTAGTTTATATTAATTTATAGCTCATAGCAAAATATCACACACCATGTATTTACATAAAACATCCTGACACCATGCTCTGAGCATACTATGCACACTATACAACATAATTATATAGCACAGTAGTATGTGAAAGTTTGAACACACCTTGAAATGGGCTGTGCTTATGTAAGAAAAAAACCCTACAAAGTGCAGCACAGCACAAAAAATAAATAATGTCAATAGAATCAGAGAAATAATTTTACTAAAACAAACCTGGCTTTGATATTGATCACTAGCAATAACAGTACACACAAAATATTACAATTTTTTTTAATTATTTTTTTTACTACATTAAACATACAACATAATATTAATCTACTAGATAAACCTCTTAGATTTATCTTCAATATTATATAGAAAATATTCAGTATCTAAAGAATAAGACACAATCAAAGAACTTGGCACTCTCCTGAAAGTAGCACTTGAGCCTATTCACAAGAATGAAAGATATCTTGGAAATAAGATTTTCAATTCTCAAAGCAAGAATTTTACTTTATAAAGAGGTACATCACCATTTCATTATAATACTTCATAACTTTTCAAAGAAAAGCACCTTCAGCACATCTTCCTGCACCTTTTCCTATTGCAAGTGTAGATTATGCATGTGTGACTAAGGGGAAAAGCTATACGCTTATGATTAGAAAATATTACATATAGCGTAATAACTTCTCCCGTTTAGTCATACAGCAAACAGCTGTCCAATCCAATGTCTTCAATAAATCCCAGTGGAAACAGATGGTTTTCTCAGTGTAATGTATACTTTATGAGTAAGAAAAGTCAGTAATGTTTACATATCAACTTTTATGTTATAAGTTTTTAATTTCTATGTTCATAATTGTATACCTTTAATAATCCATCTCATATGAACAACATGATGTAACAATAACTCATTCAATAATCAGTGACAGAATATAACAAAAGGGTCAAAATTCATTCTTTTCTGCTACTCACCATGGTCTGAGCTAACTTCTTAAAATGATAAACTATTATCTTTCTTTCTTGTTCTCTGTTACTAATATTTATTAATACAGTACACACAACACATCAATCACATGAATATTAAAATATGAAAATTCTAACCAACAACTTAAATATACAAGCAATAAAGTCAGTAATGAACTAGGTACATATTTATTGATTAATGAAGACATACTACCTACTCCTACAACTCGCCTCCATATTACATTTTCTAATCATGTAATTTGTATGAACTAGGCTGAGGAACTAGGTACATAAAAATATCACAAATATTAGTTACAAGAAATAATAATAAAGAGTAAAAACATTGAACTGTTAGCAAATCTTAATACCTGAAAGACAAAATAAAGAGATAGAAAGTGGTAGTATGAATAAACTTTAAAGGCGAAATTCAACTATTTAGTATAAATGCCTAACTTAAAAAATCAGATACCTGCCTTATTTAGCTAAATAGAGAGCACCAAATATAAAATTAAAAGTTTAAATGTATTGAAATGAGTAGACATAAGTACTTACTGAAAACGCCACACAATAGAGCTGATCACAAAATGGACACCATAATCAAAAACCAAAGTCGAAATGAGAATCACAACATAAATAAGGAAAAAAATTCATTCATTTAAGTAAACAGTCACTGGAACTTAAAATAAAACGTTTAGTTGAAAATCCACGACAAAATGTCTTTGATCTCACACGACTATAACACCAACTTGAAAGAACGCCATTACACTCCATTCGTCCATTTTGTTTCAGTGGGCCAGCCAGCCAGGCTCCGGGGGGATGCGTTCCGTATAGTTCCGTACAAGGGCAGGGCTGCGTTCCAAACCTACGCTTCAGGTGCAACTAATGTCAATTTTGACATAAGCGTCATACATTTTATGTCAAAATGTAAACGTCAGGGTACTTGAAATCAGCCGGTGTGAGCCGGCCTAATCGTTAACTTTTCATTTACAAGACAGTGTACATAAATAAAGAGGAAATTAAATATCCCTCGATGCTTTACATAACAAGTATCATAATCACGTTATTTAAAGCAAGTTTATAACACTGAGCATGGTGCAACAAATGTCAATTTTAACATAACCTTCAGACAAAATGTAAACGTCAGGGCAGGGTATTTGCACTCAGAGCGTAGGTTTCACAAAAAGTGATGCTAAAGCATCAGACGGCGAACTCTTAAAAAAAAACGACTTATGAAGAAATACTTTGCTATGAAGCCTCACTTCTTCTTCTTTTTCTTTTTTTATGGCATGCACGGTTTGTGCGTTCAGCCAATGTCAAGTAAAAATTGAGGAAACAATATAGGAAAAGAAAAGGGCGGGAAACGTTGAAGTAGGCGGGCGCGTTTTTACCTTTGAAATTAATTTTATTAAAATTTATTAGTTTTTCAACCAGTTGAGTAGCGTAGTTATATTTAATTGTTTATTTATATTTGTGTAGTGTATTTTCAGTTACTTCATCGCCTGGTAAGTCATAATATAATATATACAATGAAGGAACCCCCTGACCCGGGGGGATCCATTTCTAATACAGAACAATTTGCGGTTCCCTCTGTCGCTTATAATGTGACTGTTATGAGTCAAGGCGAATCAAGTGTAGATACTGACCAAACAGTCAATACTAAAGTAGATTGGACTGCTCCGCCGACTAGGAAAAGGAGTAAATGTATTAAAATATGCAAAACTTGTAATAACAAAAAGCGGAAAAACAAAATGGCGGGAAAGAATGTAGGATGTCTCTGTGTAGATTCTGAAAGTTCTATCGAGTCTGCTATTACTAATTCTAAACAAACGACCCCTCATACTGTACCCCCATTAAAAGGGAATAAATAACATAAGTCAGCCTCAACCTGATGTGAGTAGTCCTGTAAATAGTCGAAAATTTTATGACAAAAATGATTTTCCACCTTTCATTGTGCATGTCCAGCGTGAGCAGACAGCTTTTAATGACTCCTCCACCCTACACCCTGTGAATTTTGGTTATTTTCTTAAAAAACATAACTGTCAAGCCATAGTAGATGGCAGTGTTAAAAAAATTGGAAGAAACCGTACTGTCCTTGCCTTTAATAAATTTGAAGCTGCTAATAATTTCTTAAGTGATACGAGATTACAAGACAATAATTATAAAGCTTTTGTGCCTTCTTTCAACATAACCCGAATGGGTCTTGTGCGTGGAGTACCACATGATTGGACTCCTGATGAAATAAAAGAAAAAATCACTCTTCCTGTAGGCTGCGGAGAGATAATTAAAATAAGACGTATTAACCATAAAGTTTTTATTGATAATACTGTGACATGGAAACCTACCCAATCAGTAGTTATTACCTTTGATGGCCAAGTACTTCCTTCCCGTGTATTTTTATGCTATAATGCATTAGTTGTAGACCGCTATATATATCCAACAGTCCAATGTTTTAACTGCTGTCGTTTTGGGCACACTAAACTGCAGTGCAGGTCTAAACCTCGCTGCTTTAAGTGTGGTCAGGATCATACTGGTGATACATGTACAGTTGAGGAAGAAGATGCACAATGTTGTAATTGTTCTGGTTCCCACTTTGCTAATAAACGAGTTTGTCCAGAATACGAAAGACAAAGGCGTATAAAAGTGACTATGGCAAATGATAATACTTCTTATTTTGAGGCAGCAAAAGCCCATCCATCTGTTAATAAGTCTTACTCTGAGGTACTAACATCCCAGCCAACTAAGGCATCTTCTAATTTTAAAACTACACCAATTAAAAATGATACTCAACATAAGTCTTATAAAAAAACTGTCTTTATGAAACCTAAAGTTCGTTCACCTTCTCATCATATGGGGTTTAATCAAGCAGAACATATGAATATGATCAAAGATTATGATATGCCCAACAACAGTGGTAATGGTACTACTATTATACATGAATTTAACAAGTATTCAAATTTGACAATTACAGATGTAATTGTCCCTCTAATAAATTTTTTAACTCAATTTAATAATTATGAACCGTCCCACGTTGCTCCTTTACTAGACCTTATTAATAAAATTACACATTCAAATCATGGCTCAATTGGCCAAAGTTATTCAATGGAATTGCCGCAGCATCAATAACAAGAAAACTGATCTTATTTACTTAATAAATACATACAATCCATTTATTATTTCACTATCAGAAACCTGGTTAAAATTAGGATTTAACTTCAAAATTCCAGGATATTTTTGTTTAAGACAAGATAGAGCAGATGGCCATGGCAGTGTTGCTCTATTGATAAAGAATTTTTACCAATATAAACATTTTGTATTACCTTTACCTTGTAGCGAATACTCTGCTATTGCTGCAATTGTAAACAATATCTGTTTTGTGTCAATTTATATACCTCACCCAACTACATCTATTTTGAATGAAATCAATAACCTTCTATCTCTACTTCCAAAACCTTTTATAGTGCTTGGTGATTTCAACAGTCACCACCAGTCTTGGGGCAGTTCAATCACAAATAGCATAGGAGAGCAACTTATGGACATATTGGATAAAAACAATTTGTGTTTACTTAACACTGCTATTCCTACCCGTGTTACTAGCCCCACAGATTTTATTAGTGCTGTTGACCTCTCAATTTGTACACCTAGCCTTGCATCATCATTACTCTGGCATCCTCTCACCTCATCTTTTGGAAGTGATCACTTTCCAATAATATTAACCTTTCCATTTGCAAATAAAAAGTCTGTTAAGAGAAAAACATTTAATAAATATAAACTTCATAATGTAAATTTTTCTGTATACAAAAACAAAGTGGAAGAAAAATTTTCAACACTACTCATCTTGGAAAATGGTAATGAAGATGAATGCTCTGCAGCTTTGGCTAGATGTATGGTTGAAGTTGCTGATAGTATATTTCCTATTAAAAATTCATGTAATAATTTAATCCCCTCACCACCCTGGTGGGACAAAGATTGTACTTTGGAGATTTCCCGGAGAAAGAAGGCTGAGCGCCAATATCGCGAAAATATGACCACGGAAAACTTTGCAGTTCTTTTACGGGTTACATCTGAAGTTAAAAAATCGTTAAAGAGGAAAAAGTCAGAATCCTGGAAAAAATTTTGTGCTTTAGTTAGTCCTCAAACCCATCCGTCTATAGTTTGGCGTAACATACGTAGATTTCGCTCTGCTTTTGTTGAACCATCTATCTGTAGTCTATCTTTAGATTTAGCCGAACAATTCATGGATAACTTAGTTCCACCATCAGTAAAAGAGATATTAATACTTTCACCGTATCAAAATAATTTCGGTTTTAATTCTCCATTTTCTATGCAAGAGCTAAAAGGGATCCTTGCTAATCTTAAAGACTCTTGTCCAGGTAAAGACAATATTCCGTATTCCTTTGTAACTAATCTGAGTTATAATACCCAAAATTATTATTTACAAATTATAAACTCTGTGATGCTGACAGGTAATATTCCTCCATCATGGAGGCAACAAACAGTATTGCCATTACTAAAACCGAATAAATCGCCTGCTGATGTATCATCTTATCGACCGATTATTCTTTCTACAGTACTGGTTAAAATAGCTGAACACCTTTTGAAAAATAGATTAGAGTGGTTAGTTGAGAGCAAGAATCTTTTGTCAAATAGCCAATACGGTTTTAGGAGAAACAGAAGCACATCGGACTGTATTGGAATTTTAACATCTGATATCCGTATAGCTTTTTCCGATAATGAATCAGTTGGGGCGGTCTTTCTCGACATAAAGTCAGCATATGATAATGTTAATTTATCGATTTTACGCGATAAATTAGTTGATTTGCAAATTCCCGTAATGCTAACCAATTTTATTATAAATCTGTTTTCTGAAAGATATCTAATACTTCATATAGATGATACAACAATTGAAAGAACAGCGATAAAAGGCTTACCACAAGGGTCAGTCATCAGTCCGTTGCTTTACAATCTATATACCCATGATCTTGAAGATTCCTTAGATAGCTCTTGCTCGGTTATTCAATATGCCGATGATGTAGTTTTATACTGTATTAATAAGTCTGTAAATAACATAAACAATGATATAAATTATTCGTTATCATTATTTAAAAAATGGTTAGATAGAAACGGCCTAGAGTTGTCTGTTTCTAAGACAATTTTAGTACTTTTTTCTAGGATGAGAAACCCGCCTGACCTTAATGTATGCTTTGGTGAAACTTGCCTGCTGCAGAAGCAAGAAGTAATGTATTTAGGTATCATTCTTGATACTAAGCTCACCGGGAAATCTCATTGTGAATATATATCAGCAAAATGCGAACGTAATATTAATATTTTAAGATGTCTTGCTGGCGTTTGGTGGGGCAGCCATCCGACTTCGTTGAGATTGCTTTACATTGCCCTTGTGAGAAGCATATTAGACTATGGTACTTTTTTGTTGGAGCCAGGAAATGCTGGCGCCCTTCGGAAATTGGATAGTATTCAGTCAAAAGCCTTACGAATAATTTCTGGTGCCATGAGGTCTAGCCCTATATGCGCGTTACAGGTAGAATGCAATGATCCTCCATTACACCTTCGTAGACAGTATTTAGCCGATAGATATTTTTATAAGGCCGTTCAATTGACAAACAACCCAGTTATTGAAAAATTAAGAATTTTGTCGGAAAAGGTTATTACAGCTACTTATTGGTCTCGTAAGAGCCTTCCACCTCTAGTCAAAACCTTTAATAGATACAAAGCTGAAGACATTCCTGTCCATCACTTCCATATTCCCCCTATTTTTAATACAGACTATGATGCTCTATCTATTAACCCTAATATAATTTATAACCTCCCCATCGACGATAAGGCTAATGCAAA